ATAATTATTCCAATTGTAAAAAGTATTATGTAATATTTATTCCGATTGGCAAAAGTATTATGTAATATTTATTCCAATTGGAAAAAGTATTATGTAATATTTATTCCAGTCGAAAAAAGTATTATGTAATATTTATACCGATTGGAAAAAGTATTATGTAATATTTATTCCGATTGGAAAAAGTATTATGTAATATCTTTTCCGACCCAAAAATATTATTATGTTCTATCTATTACGAATGCCGGAATGATAAATTGGTATTTACAATTATTTTCCTGATATACTATAGTAGAAATAATACTGGTAAAAGAACATGTATCGTGAATATGGGAAATAATTGTTCCCAATGTTGTAGACATTAAATAATCATTTCAAATTATCCAACAAATTTTACATTTAAATGATATTTGTCTCATTAGAATTAACATTTATCATGTGTATATTTCACAGCAGTACTTGTTAAAATATTTACTTACCATCAACATAAGTTCCATCATTTAAGAATATAAATATTTTCTTATACTCATCAGCCTCCATGTTTATACATTCAGGGGTTGTGTACAAATGACTATATCTATCTAACTCAATAACACTTTTCTATTTACATAATAATCATATAATCAGCATTTAAAACCTGTTTTGATTTAGATATTAATCACTCAGGTATAAACTTTAAACTTCAGCATACTAGGAACATTTGTTATACTCATCAACATATAATATAAGTTCCTGATATCAGTGGAACAAATATAATACAGTTGGAAGAAGTATTCCATAACCGAATTTCCGCAGAACAAATATTATTATAATATTGTTTCCCTCAGGAACAAATATTATTAGGAACAAATATACGTTGACAAGTTTATGTAGATACTTTATAACAGTATCCTGGCTCCAAGCTATACTAATATTTGGTCTTACTCTTAAATTCAGCGTAAAAAAGATATCACCAACCACCCACATTCGAGGCTAGCACAACGTTCATTAAATTCATTTTTCCTACTGTCCAATAATTAAAACTAAAATCAATGATACAAGGCAATATATGATCGTCATGCAATCGATAAAAAATGAAAACAAAACGTCAAAAATTGCATGCGTCCGAAGCGCTTTTCTTGATCTACCTTTATCAGGAACGCTCAAAGCCGAATATTTGAAGGCCAACAATTTATAAAGAACTAAAATAGTTGATTAAAAGGTTAAAGATGATCGTTCAAAATGTACAAGCAATGATTTCATCTGCCGACATGATTGCAGAAAGTAAGAAGTCGTAGAGCAAAACAGAAAAATTTGAAATCAAATTTGAGATAATACAACGTGCATGTATTGAGCCATTTTATTGCTTAAAGTTCAGTAGAAAATATATATACATACTCAACCTAACCATACTATTTGACCTACTGCGAGTTGGTCAGTTTTCACTGTTACTCCTAAATGATGGGCGCTTGGCAATTTAAACCACATAGTTCTGAATTATTTATCTGAAACGCTATAAAGCTTATGTGCTTTCTTTTCTAAGGTAAGAATCATCATAATCAGAGCCGCGCGTCTTGTTTTAAAATGAATTCTCTTCTGGTTTTATTTTATACATTAACTTTAAGTAACAGTAACTTTTCACTTCATTTTGTTTCGCTTCGTTCCGCTTTTATTTCGTTTCGCAGTTTACAGGTATACTTCCTAACTAAGAATGATCATAACCAGAGCCGTGTTTACAGATACCCCTCTTTTCGCCCCTTTTCTATTTTTTATATCTTAATAAAAAATTGAAAAAATCAAACTTTCAAAAAGCGAAATAATCAAAACTGCACGTTAAGTTTAGCACTTTTAAAGTTTGATCAAATATCTAAACTATCAAATTTAAAAACGATATTTAGAATTTTAAAATTTTAATAATTTGGTGAAAATTTCAAAATTTCAAAACTTTAAAAAAATTTGGAATTTTGATATTTTAAAACTTTGATCAAAATTCCAAAAATCTAAAATTTGAAAACTTTTTAAAACCTTGAATTGATAAGTGATACACGGACCGATGTAGTATGACGTAAATAGCACACGGAAGTCCTTAAGAATGAAATTATACATCCAACTTCATTCAAGGCCGTACGCTCAACAGAGAGTCATATAGTAAATAATCATGTCACAACCACAGCTCAGCTTAAAGCCTCTTCTGAACATTTGTAGGTCCCCACTATGTATTGGTTACCTAAACTACACAAAAAACCCGTAAAATATCGTTTCATCACGGCCTCTAGTGAGTGTTCTACTACTAGAATTTCAGTCTTTTTAACGAGTTCCTTAAATAAACTACTATCAAAGAACTGATCATTAATTTTAGTAATAAAATATATGAAAATAGTGGAATTAACCATTTTTGGAGTGTAAAAATATTCTTGGATACGTGCTTGTGATGGTCCTTTTGATTCGGTTGACAGTTTTGACTTTTCCACTCTTTCCACTGCACTTCCACACAATCATATCAAACAAAAGTTTTCCTATTTAATTAAATGGTCGTTCGATAAATCTAATTGCAAATTCATTTGCTGCAACTCGTATAAAGCCTTTTTCTCAAACGAGAAAGGTAAATATGCTAGATATACTTACTGGAGGTGTGATGAGATGAGTACAGCCATAAATTTTCTCCTTGACAACATTTCTGTACGTTTCGGCAAAAAAGTTTATCGACAGATTCAGTGTATAGGTATTCCTATGGGCATCAATTGTGCCCCTTTAATAGCAGACTTGTTCCTGTACTGTAACGAATCAGTTTATGGCGAGACCCAGTAAAGACCGTCTAAATTCCATTTAATTGATAAATTCAACAACACTTACCGTTATCTTAATGATATGTTTTCGTTAAATAATCAAGAATTCTCTAAATATATATACTGCCGAAATTTACCCACAGCAACTTACTTTGAATTAATCAAATATTAACAGCAATAAGTGTCCTTTCCTAGACTTAGATATTCCAGTTTTACACAAGAAACTCTACACAAAATCCAATTATGACGTCTAGTCTTGCTTTCCTGTGACCTTATAATTTTAAGAAAATTATAAATTACATTGGTCGTTAATATTTAGCAATATACTGAGTTATAATTATTAATCAGTTAAATGGTAGCTAATCTATCTATGTTTTGCCGCGTGAAAAAAGCATCGACTGGTTTTACCTATTTTTGAACATTTAAGATATTTCTATTAGCTCTATAGGTACCTTATAATTGGGACTATTAGTATAATAGTCCCAGCAGAGACAGTATTATATGTTTTGCGGACGTGACTGTAAACAACTAAGATTTTACTATTAAAGGAAATATTTAGTTTAAGATTTTTTATGCATACCACTCAGTTAGAAAAAAGGGCGGAGTTTCCTTAACTTTAGTGTTTACTAAGGAAAATCGTAACTTAAGTAGCTTTATGCATACGGACCCAGACTCGTGACTTGGGACAGCCACATAAACAATGTGGCGGGTTAAACGTGATTGTGATCGCGCAACCCTCCCCTAACTTGGGACAGTGGTGTGCCTTGTTTATTATAAGGGGACGAAGTCCCCTATTACGGTAGAAAAATCAATAAAAAAAAAAAAAAAAAAAAAAAAAAATCGGGAAAATTTCCCGAAATTTTCATTGTACTAATGAACTCAAAATCGTTAACTTTTTTATTTTCAGACTTTTTTATTTTCCCGCATTTGCGCAGAAATCTACTTCCTTTTTCCGGTCTCGTTTGCATGAGTCTTTGAGTAAAATATATATTTATCAGTCTAGTAAAATATAGGAAGGAACGCAATACCAATTCCATTTTTAATAATTCCTTGAATGGCTTGATATGAAAAAACGTTACCTGATAGCGTTTCTTTGTTTACATTGAATATGACGTCATAACATAAATAACGTCACAACTAAAATTCCGAACAACAGAACCGAAATCGGAAACGTAAGGGTATTTCCGTTTCTTTTTTAACAGATTTTGAAGTTAAAATATGTTTGAATTAAAAAAAAATAATTCATACAGACTTCGTCCCCTTTCACAGGTAACGCCTGCCTCATATTAAGGGGACGAAGTCCCCAATTACAGTAGAAAAATCAATAAAAAAAAAAAAAGAAAAAAAAAATCGGGAAAATTTCCCGAAATTTTCATTGTACTAATGAACTCAAAATCGTTAACTTTTTTTTTGTAACTTTTTTAAATACCCGCATTTGCGCAGAAATCTACTTCCTTCTTCCGGTCTCGTTTGTCATGAGACTTTGAGTGAAACTATATATATTTATCAGTCCAGTAAAATATAGGAAGGAACACAATAACAATTTCATTTCTAATTATTCTTTGATATGAAAAAACGTTACCTGATGATAGCGTTTCTTTGTTTACATTGAATATGACGTCATAACTAAAATAACGTCACAACTAAAATCCCTAACAACAGAACCAAAATCGGTAACATTACGGTATTTCCGTTTCTTTTTTAACAGATTTAGAACTTAAAATATGTTTGAATTAAAAAAAAAAAAATTTATATAGACTTCGTCCCCTTTCACAGGTAATGCCTGCCTCATATTATTTCTCCTTTCTCTCCGCTACGTTGGTACCCAATTTCCGGTGGCGATGATACACAGTTATGTTCAATATATTATATCATACAAGTGTTACAACAAAGCTCAAAGAAGGAGGTTATTGTTTATGCTCTTGAGGGGTGCTCTGAATAACGGAGGATTCCACATACACACATGTAAAATCCTTGTGATGGTTCCCTGCGTAAAATACTCAGAGAGTATGGCTACATAATTGTCAAACTTGTCAAATAACGTTCGGGTACCAGTAAAAGAAGTAGGCCGCTAGAGGGCGCAGAATTATCCGAGTTTGTTGTTAACT